TAGATTTTTTCTGCTACCATCTTATTTTCCTTTATCTACGTCACTTAACAAACTTACAAAGAGTTGACAAAAATTTGATGGCCTCCATTCATCATCATAAAATATATGTGCTGGAATTCAGCATAACAGACTACATACACAACACATCCATCTTCTGGCACTAAACTGTATCTTCATGGTTTTGCTGTAAAAGATTATTATTATTACAAGTAGCACCATAAATTTATGCAGCGCTTTACATAGTTATTGTACATTCACATCAGTCCCTAGCCCTCAAGGGGTGTACAATGTAAGGTCGCTAACTTACATTCATAAATACACATACTAGGGCCAATTTAGAAAGGATCCAATTAACCTACCAGCATGTTTGTGGAGTGTGGGGTTAAACCAGAGTACCCAGAGGAAACCCACACAGGTACAGGGAGAACATGCAAACTCCATGCAGGTGGTGCAGTGGTTGGGATTTGAACCAATGAACCTAGTACTGCCAGGCAGAAGTGCTGACCATTTAGCCACTGTGCTGCCCACACATAAGGTGATATAGAGGCTCCGGGATGTGTTTGAGGTCTCCACCAAAAAATGAAACAGCTGATTTAGTAAAGGCAAATAGACTTGCTCACTTTACAAGAGAAGTTGCATTTTGCAAAGGGATTATTCTCATAGTTTAATGAATGAGGTTCTGCTGACTGCCATAATCCAAATATGTGCACTACATTCACAAATTTTTGGGAAAAAATTCCATTACACAGTACAACTTCACTTGCAAAGTGATCAACTTATTTGCCTTTAGTAAGTCAACCCCATCGTTTAAAATACCAGACCTAAACTAAATCCAGATAAAGTCGGATATATGCCAAGGTGCCACATCCCTGGTGATTAGATTTGACCAAACCAAACCTAAACTGTATTAGATTTACAGGGTACCATATTGGGGAGGGGCAACACCTCTCTAAAACAAGCATGCAGTAGCCCATAAAGGTGAACGTTTTTAATAGGATAGACTGAACCTAGAAGAGGTTTTGCTGCTTCAGAGTAGTTACTATGCCTCCTACACTCCTGTGGTATCATATGGAGGTTATCAATGGTAGTGCAAGCTTTAATGCAGAGTGGCTGACACCAATGGTGTATTCAGGTTTGTGCTGCCCTAGGCAACACAAAAATTGGTTTGCTCCCCCTCCTTGGCAGAGAGAGCCTGACACCGACCAACACCAGACCCCCCCTCCCTCCCTTCCCGAGAGAGCAACACCCCTGCCCGTCCCCCCCACCCGAGAGTGCCTTCCACTAACACCCCCTCGGCGACAGAGAGAAGCACACTCACTTTCACAGCTCTGGCCATCCCCAGGAATGACAGTCGGACTCTTCATATACCATCAATCAGCCCACAGCCTGTCTCAGATCCCACCTGGTCCCCATGCTGGATATATCCCTTCTTCCTGGGGGCAGTGCTGCCCCCCTAAAAAATGCCGCCCTAGGCAAATGCCTTGTTTGCCTTGTGGTAAATACACCCCTGGCTAACACATAGGTGGGTGTTTGCTACATGATTATGCAAAGTGTTTACTGAGTACACTGTGCTGTAACTGTTGGTTGAGTTGGGATATGTATGAGTCCAACATAGTACTAGAGACTGATGGGTTGACTTACAAAAAAAACAAAAAGACTGTGCACCTTGCAAGCGTAGTTGCTCTCTACAAGTGAAGTTGCTCCAGAGCTTAGTAAATAAGGTGAAGCTTTACTTTGCAGAGAATACCCAATCACATGCAAGGAAAATTAAACACAAACATTTTTGCTTGCACATGATTGGATGATGGAAGTCAGCAGAGCTTCATCTTATTTACTACGCTCTGGAGAAAATGCCCTTGCAGAGTGTAACTGCACTTGCAAAGTGCATAGTCTTTTTGTCTTTAGTAAATCAACAGAACTGAATGCGCACATTGTTTGAAAGACAAATGTTGTTGATGAAAATACACCTAAATGTTGAAATGAATAAAAACTATTTAAACTTATAATGTTTTTTCTGTAGCGCTGTTAAGGCCATTCTATGAAGCTCAAAGCCATTGCATCAAAAAAGTTACTATTTAGTCCATAGAAATGAGAAACCGTATATTCGGAATTTTAACAATTACAACATTATAAGTGAATCTTTTCTTGAAAAGAAAATCAAACAATCCATGCAACTAAAAGAGAAAGGTAAACAATGAGTTCATGAATCAGAAGATACTGTATATTAAATTGCTGCATGATCTCCAGTACTAAACTTTACAAAACTGTGAACTCACTGCAATTTGCACATTTTCCTTTTCACACCAACTTATCTCATGATTCATAAAATATTCAAAAATGAACAGATTGTATTTATGTTTTCCTGTTAGACTTGGCATAACACAAGAGTCCCACTTTTGTAATCTAGTAGCAGATGCACAGCAGTTCTTAAAAAGCATCATTTTAGGTGACAAATCACACGCAAATGTGCCTATTTTACTTTCAAAACAAGACATCCATAGATAGTCTGCAAAAGCACGAAACAAAAACAGATGACACATAATACACCTTGGAACATACACTGAGGCATTTGTCTATTGAATGCTCTTATGGAAACTGCTTAAAAGAGCCAGAGCTCAAAAGCTTGAACCATATGACCATTAATGCAATGTTTCAGTAATCAGTCTTTTAGCTAGACACACATATTTTATTGGCAGTAAATATACACATTTGAAGGTGTTTGGGGGGAAATTGTTCTTTGATCAAATATGTTATTTTTCCCTATGAAAGTCCACATAAACACTGAAGACTCATCTCAGGGACTCATTTCATGCACATAGATTTATTACAGCTCTATTTATAGCATGGTACAGCGCTGAAATGAAGTACCATGGACAGCTTGTGGTTGGCCTGTTTTGCCTATAGCATTGCTGTGGGGATAAATGAGTAAAAGGCATCGTGTGCATTATAGTTTTTAAACTACGGGTAAATGAGGCTACACAGTTACATCACCCTTATTTGAGAAAAAAAAATGACTATAACAAAGCAGAGCTGTGGAAGGCATATACTTATATTACCTAATTATAGACTTTAAAGTAAGGTTTGTGTTACATTTTGGAGAATATATGAGCAGACAGGTTATGGTGAGTAGAAAAAAGAACAGGGGAGCCTTTTTATAACAGAAGGTATCTAGCTCCTTTGAAATAAATTGCTTATATAATTAGGCTGTGATGGGTGCTCTAAGGATACATGTATGTAGTTCTTGTACATGTATGGAATGGGTGTGCACAAGAATGGACAGTAACATGGGCAATGACACAATTGGCTTTGAATTTTGAAAGGGTTCTGAAAACACAAACGCCTTAAATAAAGATGATAATAATAATAATAATAACAGTTTCAAAGCAATATCAAACCCAAAAGTAAATATTTATTATATTAACACTTACTAATTCATAAATGTATTGGCTTTGGTTTTCTTTTTTAGGCTTCTTTTATTTTAATCTGGTGGTCTGGCCAGTAGGTCTGTTGTGTTTCAACAAAACAAGCGGTCCTGCAGATGTATCAGTTAAGAGTTTGGAGACAAACCATTTACCACTGACAATGTACTTACAATGGTCAGCTATTATTTATTCATGCTAAAACGTTGTTCCAATAGAAGAAAAAAAATTGTTGATGCAACTGCCTGTGTAACTGCAGTGGGCTTCAGTTCGTTAGTGTATCTAAATCTGCTAGTCCATCTAACACTCCCCTCCTCCAGATTAACAATGCTGCTTTCCAAAGGTGCCCCCCATGCTTCTTCATCCAGAGTGGGGGCACTGTAATACAGAAGATGTGTTACTAACCAGATTATCAGGTGAAAACAGAGGGAAAAAAGTCTAATAAAAGAAAACTAATGTAGCCACATCTAATGATTGGTAAGCTGCAATATATAACATTTTTGGTTTTGTGGTTTAATATCACTTTAAACAGGGGTGTATCTACAGGGGCCGCAATTGCGACCCGGCCCCATACTCCAGGGGGCCCGTGCAGCTCCACTGCTGGATAGGAGAGGTGGGGGGGGGGGGTGGCATATAGAGGAACTTATCCCCTCCATTTTCTTCCTGCAGCCGCTGAAAGTCTGCATCTCTTTCTCTCCCTCCTGCAAGCATTCAGCAGCTGCAGGAGGAAAATTAAGGGAATCGGATCCTCTGTTAGCTGCCTCTGCCACCCCTCTTATCCAGCTTCCTCTTCTTACTGTTGCCCCTAGGTCCCTGTGATCTCTCCTAAACCCCCTGGGCTCTCTCCTGGCCCCTTTTCTTCCCCCTGCAGCTCTGCTGGCCTCCCAACATCTCTCTACCCCCAGCTGCTGAGGGGATGTGTCAGGATGAAGAGTGGGGAAGAGGCCGGTAAGTATGTAATTTACAGGTCCCTTCCTTGTTTGCCACGGACAGAGTCAGTGATCCCCTGATGGGGCTGCTAAACAATTATAAAAAAATAATAAAAAATAATAATATAAAAAAATAAATAAAGCGGTAAAAAAATTAAATAAAAAAAAAAAACTACTGACATCAATGGTGGAACTACCAGGGTTTCAAGGGTCGCACTTGTGACTGGGCCATGGCGTTTTGCCACTGGGCTTGGAGGCTTGGGGGGAGGGGCCCCAGATGGGGGTCAGGGGGGTTCTTCATTCTTTCACTGGGGCCCAGAAGGTTCTAGTTACGCCTCTAGCTTTAAAGCAATATGCTATGCTCATTTAGGGAATATCAACATGTTTGCGTTATTCCAACACATCCCTAACAGTTTATACTCACTTTTCCTTTCTCTACTCTCAGTGCAAGGAGATGTAGAATATACCCTGTACTATCAGAGTATGGAGAAGCTGGTGACTCACTCCATGTTACACTGGGAGTCGACATCCCAGTGTCGACTACAATTCAGGCAGCCTGTACCTTATATTGGGCTTTTTTCTTTCCATCTCCAGCAGCTGAGCACAGCAGCATGGGATCAAAAGGGAGGTATGTACTGTACAGGGGCGGACTGACAACTCATGGGGCCCCCGGGCAATAGGGGATCATGGGGCCCCTGTGTCCTTGCCCAAACTCAAAAAAGCCTATGAAAAAGGTACCAGAGGCATCTCATGGGGCCCCCTACTGACCCCGGCCCTCGGGCAGTGCCCGAGATTCCAAATGGTCAGTCCGCCCCTGGTACTGTATATTGTTCTGGGGAAGTCTTCAGAAACGTGAACCTGTTCCTAGGCCTTGCATGGGTAAAACACAAATTTATTTTAGATTTCAATGTGTTCTTCCACAGCCACCGATCAAATGAAATTATTTAGGGCATGTCTGATGTCAGTTGGCCATTGCAGAAAAGCAAATTTTAATTCTTAGTAAAAACACTTTAGTAGATAAGATCTTTCTGTCCACAATTAGGGTAACTGAATAAGCTGAGATGGGAAGACGTAAGACATAGACTGTAAACAATCTGGGGAATTATATGCCACTTTTTATGCATAGCAAAATGTCAGCAAATTGCCCTAAATTCATATACCTGTTGGATTTGGGGCTGGCACCGATGTTTGTCATGAAGAGTTTAACTAAGGCCAGAGGATCCATATGGATGCTATGTCCTTAAGGAAGCTGAGCTCCCTCCCAGTTTTGTAGCTGGGTGGGTGAAGCCAGATGGGGGAGCCCTGCTCCTGTTTTGATTGACAGTGGGCAGTGGGCTGATTCCATAGCCAATAGAGAGCTTGCTATTGGTTATCCACCCATTGCTTGCCATCAGTGACAAGGAGAAAATGAGCCTGATATGGAAATAGTCTCTCAGCTTCCCTATCAGGGTCAACTACTGTTAGCATCATTGGTTGCTAGGAGTCTGTCAGTTGTGTCAGGGATGGCATCCTTGACAGATGAGGAGAGCAGAGGGCAAACATGCCATTCTAGCACACAGTGTATGGAGACAGGCACTCTGGCCTGTCACTGTACACCAACTTAGAGTTGGTCTTAACTACCTCTAGTTTTATCCATGAGTTGGAGGTAATCCTTTATGAATCTGGTGCAGCTATAGCACCATTTTGTAAAAGTCAAGCTATTAAGAACCACCTGAATCTACCAAAACTGGTGGCAGTGCTTTCTTGAATCTGGTGCAGACCTTCTGAAAGGCCAAACCGACAAAACAGTAGTGCAAATGCTTTATTGAATTTGCCCAATTATCCAATGTAAGCATACAACATTCCCAGTTCAGTAAATGTGTAGTTCACTCACAATCATCACAATATAAAAAAAGTCCTAATTTAGAAATGAAAATGAAAACAAAAACGTAAAAGAAGATACCGTAACTGGAAATGTGTTGGTAAATAACTAAAGTGTGTTCAACATTTTATGCGAAGCAAAAAGGTAATAAAATATGCCTTGAAATCTGTTTATTTAGAAAGAAATATGATCTACTGTCACTGTAGCTTTACAAGATAGGGATGTAAAACATAATCACAAAAGCTGTTTTCAACTAGACAGCCTGTGTTGTTATTCTTTACAAATACCAGTAGGGTTTTATGCTAAAAAATAAGAAATGCTACAAAAATAAAATGTAAAATAAATGTTTAAATATTAATCAGAAAGTACAGAATGAAAGAGAAGAGTACATTCAGATAAAACATACAGTTGAACCTTCTAAGTTCTGTACATACCTAATATGCACATAAGCTTCAGTGGCAACTGACTGTGTTCCATGCACTGAGGTTGAGCAATGTAGATGAAATAAGTCCAAAAACTGTAAATCCAGAGTTTATTAAAGCCTGCAGTAATCAATGCCAGGACAAAGTTATCAAGTGCCCAGGGCAAAGATGGCAGATGGTGACCCTCCTTGATGTGAGCACCTCCAATCATGTTCTGAGGCTGGGAACTATGTTACTAGCGCTACAGTGCCACTTCTACTCATCTGTCAGTTGCAAGAACCTCCTGCTGTGGGAACTAGCTAAACAACTAGCTGCTTGAGGGTACTACATGCCTAACGCACTATTGCGCACCTTGTGTTCAATCCTTCAAATGATCTTTTGAGGAGCACACTCCTCTTAAATCTACTTTGAGGTTCCCATTTGCAGTGTGCATTAAGCATCCAAATAAGGTTGTTTTTAAGGCTATAAGGAATTATGCATGTACTTTATGTCATGTGCACTACATTACCCTAGGTTACCAAAGCATGTTCTATAGCTCTCTTAGTTTTAGTTTTTTTTTACAGTCATTTTAGTGATATCAGTGAAGACTTTCTGATGTATTGATCCTACATAAAATGCAATTTCCTAATGGCTATCAAATGTATTAAAGCAATAAACCAGAGAAAATCCAATTTTGGTTCTAAGTACCTCACCACTTCTTTGTCGAATGTTGGGATACAGAAGTGTATACCACTTAGCAAATATGTTAATGAATTAGACATACACTATATTGACCAAAGCATTGGGATGCCTGTCTTTACACGCACATGAACTTTAATGGCATCCCAGTCTTAGTCCGTAGGGTTCAATATTGAGTTGGCAAACTCTTTGCAGCTATAACAACTTCAGCTCTTCTGGGAAGGCTGTCTACAAGGTTTAGGAATGTGTCTATGGGAATGTTTGACCATTCTTCCAGAAGAGCATTTGTGAAGTCAGGCACTGATGTCAGGACTTTGTGTAGGCCAGTCAAGTTTCTCCCCCCAAACGCGCTCATCCATGTCTTTATAGACCTTGCTTTGTGCACTGGTGTGCAGTTATGTTGGAACAGGAAGGGGCCATCCCCAGACTGGCCCCACAAAGTTGGGAGCATGAAATTGTCCAAAATGTCTTGGTATGCTGAAGCCTTAAGAGTTCCCTTCACTATACCTAAAGGGCCAAGCCCAACCCCTGAAAATCAACCCCACACCATAATTGCCTCTCCACCAAACTTTACACTCGGTACAATGCAGTCAGGCATGCACCATTCTCCTGGCAACCGCCAAACCCAGACACGTCCATCGGATTGCCAGACAGAGAAGCATGGTGCATCACTCCAGAGACCACGTCTCCACTGCTCTAGAGTCCAGTGGCAGCGTGCTTTTCACCACTGCATCCGACGCTTTGCATTGCACTTGTTGATGTAAGGCTTGGATGCAGCTGCTCAGCCATGGAAACGCATTCCATGAAGCTCTCTACGTACTGTTGTGCTAATCTGAAGGCTACAAAAAGCTTGGAGTTATTTAGCTATTGACTGCAGACAGTTGGCGACTTCTGCGCACTGTGTACTTCAGCATGTGCTGACCCATTTCTGTCAATTTACGTGGCCTACCACTTCTTGGCTGAGTTGCTGTTGTTCCCAGTTGCTTCCACTTTATTATAATACCACTAACAGTTGACCGTGGAATATTTATTAGTAAGGAAATTTCACAGATGGACTTATATCACAGGTGGCAACTTATTACTCAATTCACTGAGCTCCTGAGAGCGACCCATTCCTTCACAAATGTTTGTAGTAACAGTCTGCATGCCTAGGGGCTTGATTTTATACACCTATGGCTATGGAGGTGATTGGAACACCTGAACCCAATGATTTGGCAATACAGTGTATGTATGTATGCTGTCATAGCTATGCACATCTATGAAAGCATCACATGAGTGCCAATACTTTGATGGTATACTTTACCTGGTAGGCCCACTTTGTGGGACCATTGATGTAACAGCATAAGAAAATATTCATTTTAAATTTTGAGCCATTAACACCTGATTGACATACTTTCCCAGGGCAAGTCATTCTTAGATCAGCATATCAGCCAAACAGCAAGCCTTGTAGAAAGAGAATTGGGAAACCTCACAATTTTTCAGTACAGTTTTTCTTTATACAGTGCAACCACAATGACACTTATAGTCACAAGAAAAAGTACAGAGTGTGAATCAGTCCAGTGGAGACATACATAGCAATAAAAATCTGACATAAATTCCAGCTCCTCACCACTATTGAAAACTAAAAAAAAGTAATTTAGATACATTATAAAGTGTGCCGGAAAGAGAACTGCCTGGTGATTGCTCATTCAGAAATAAACAATAAAATGTCAGATATGCAAGACCTGCTTCTCTTTCAGAAAGAAAAAAACCATGAAGTGCCTAGATCAATGTAAGCATTACATAAAAACATCTTTCTATGAGTAATGTTATGCTTAAAATCCATTTGTTGTGTATTAGGGCATTCAACAACTGTCACTGGAATGGTTGTTCATTTGGGGCATGGTTGATTTAAATGGAACTAAACCCTCCTACCCTTTACAGCCAAGGAAAACTGACATCTTAGAGCCTTTTGATCTGCAGTTACCATGGTGCTGCATATGTTATCACTTATGTCTCTGGACATTTGATGGCTTGATAATTTTATTGAGAGCACAAGCAACTATGACAGTTATGCTTACATGCTAGCTTTGAATGTAATTGTTTTTGGAAACTGTTAAATAAGTGAGTTTATTTAATCTTGAAGCAGTTGCTGTGGGTTGTTTATTTTGTGTTCCTAATGGGTCTTCTGCTACATCACTGGCCACTATTCCTGCTGTTTCTTTTGAGCCTCTCTACCGCCTGTTTCAACAGCTTTTTTTGCTTCCTCTAGATGCTTTGGTCTATCTTTTCAGTGTCTTGACATGTGCAGTGGTGCTTTATGACCTCAGGTATACTTTGCATATGGGGGAGGATGAACAGACATGCCCCAATATCAGGAAACATTGGAGCTCATCCTACTTTGGACATTGGATTCCTTTATTGTAATGATTCATTAGCTTATGCGTGCAGTTCTTTTTGCTGTTTTTGATTAACCTTTTTAATGGCCTTGCTTGAACTGACCTTGTTTGAACTTTGCCTACCCTGAACCTGCCTTGCCTTTGGACTTCACCTCTACTCTAGGTTTTGCCTGTAACTTGTGCCTTCTGCAAACCCATGGCAATTCCCCAGAATATGACTCACACCTACACTCTTTATCTCTTCCATTGTTACAGACAATGCCTGGCTGGCTCGACCCCAACTAAACTTTGACTGTTGTGCCATTTGCTGCTGTGTCAATTAAATACAATTGTCCCTGCTCTTTTGCTCTTTACCTATGCCTGTGTTGCCTGCACCCACATGTAGGAATGCATATTTTCCCTGCTCTATACTAAGGGTCCTTTCACACGGGCGTTTCATTTCTTTCATCAGTTTAGTCACGTTTTTTTCAAAGAAAAACCGGATCAGTTCACA